GTTTGGGCCATCGTCTCCCTGACTGACTGCCCGCTTACCCGTGATTATTGTGATTATTGGTAGTGTCCAAGAGACCACGAGACGAGAGATGGAAGAGAGCAGAGTGGAGAGTGGAGAGACCTGGCCACAACGACCACGAGACACCAACAGAGAAGAGCCACAAATTGAAAACCGAAAGTGAAAATATGTTTATCGGCTGAGTGGCTGTGGCTGAGTGGCTGTGGCTGAGTGGCTGTGCCGGCGGAAAAAAAGAAAAAGACGGAAAACAAAGCAGAAGATCGCATAGATCGTGAGGAGTTTCCCCCTCTCAGCCCATGCGCCTTTCCCCTGTCCACTGTCCACTGTCCCCCGTTCCCGTCCGATCCATTGACGACCGTTCAATGCCGTAAATTAAGTTGGCAATTTCTCGTTTCTGTTTGTCGGTGAAATCTGTGGCTCGGACAAAAGAAAACTCCTGCCGGTGGAAAGCGGTTTCCCTGCGGAATGAATGGAATGATTGGGGCATGGGGTCAGTCGTTGAGTGGCAAGAGTGAGTGCTGCGGCATCGAAAGAGGCTGCCGATTGACCTCGACCTCGAGCAGGAAAATACCCGACGATTGGATTATCCGAACAGTTGCAATTCCATTCAAATCTCGAATTATTCATAATACTTTCTAGCTTTTACCTTTCTTCTGCGTGGTGGGGGCTGCTGCTGTTGCTCCATTTTGGATCCGCACACACACAATCCACGGTCTAATCCCTTGAAGAACTGTAACCACAACTGAGACGACGACAGGCACGTCTGTCTGTGTCCACACGATATTTGGGGCGAATCTTATCAGCAAGACAGTGCCAAAAAAAATATGATCCCCACTTATTTGCATGCCTCTGACACTGACAATGATATGGCCATCGTGAGAGATATAAAGATACATCTTAGAGATACAAAGATACAGCGAGATAAGCGGTAAGAGAGAGAGAAAAAGAGCGAGTAGAACCCTGAGAGAGCAGAGCCGCTGGCACTTTCACTGCACAAAAAACTGTGTGTTTGCATTTGCATTTTATCTCTGGGGAATGTCTCTATAAAGAAATGATTCTATGGAAATGTATCCATAGAAATGTACATCTGTATCTATGAAAATGTGTTTGCATGCCTCTCGCGAGGGTGAACATCATCTGGTGGGTGGCTAATGTCCATGTCCGGCATAAATTTCAAGTCTATCCCTAACTCTTGCCCGCTTTTGGCTCTGTTTTTTTGGCGTAGGTGGCCCCAAATGTATCCCATTACATGCACCACATACTTTTGTATCTTTGTGCTGCAGTTGTTTTCTTTTCTTTCTTTCTTGGATTAAGTAAGTCTACAAGTAAGAGCTCTACTGTTCCTCTCTCCCTGTCTCTGAATCGTCGTGGAATTGAAATTGCAATTGGAGGAGACTTCACATGCAAATCAAAAAGACAGGAAATTATTACAACTTTTTACCAATTCCCCTACTACATCACGCTCCCCCTCGCTTGGAGTCTTGTTTTGTTTTTGTTGGTCATGTGCCTGGCTCTGGGGTATGGCTTTGCTTTTTTCGATTCATTAGCATTACATGGCTTCCGTATTTGGTTATGAACTGCCTCCCCAATGGAGCGCAGACACCAAAAACCATACCACAGAGACATATGTAAATAGATTATGTAGGTATGTACATACATATCTATTTTGCATAAGGTTCGTACCATTTGAATGGCTGGAAAATGGGTCAAAGATGCGACTGGCGTTTACAGCTATCGGCGGGGTTCAGGTTCAAAGACGCAGATAATGTTAGCCATAAGTTACAGCCTGCATCTCAATCCCTCGATATACTCTAAGGAAGTGTCAGCTGCTGCTGCTGCTGCTGCTGCTGCTGCTTTCTTTGATGTGGTTTCGGGCGCTGCCTTGGCGGTTGATCTTCAGTTACATTTAACGTGTGGATTACAAGCCGAATGGCGCATCATAGGTAGACTCAGAAACGGAATAGAACCAGGTGAGACGTCTCTCCCCATCCCCTTTGCGTGGCGTCTGTTAGGTGCGAAATTCTTTAGCAAATGCGATAATTTATCCATCAATCAGTTGCCTGGTGGCACACATTCCACATTGCCGCTCGCTGTTGAAGAGCTGAGAAGCTGAAAAGTCATCCGAAATGCTCATGAGAATCAAGTCTGTGTGTGTCTGCCAATGTCAGGCCTAGAATCCGCCAACGGCTTACGTCATAAATAAAGTGGAGCCCCAATCGCTAGAGGAGCATAAAAAACCAGACGCCAGACCCCCCCACAGCAGACCACTGGACGGAGGCCACCAGCAAAAGCGATGAACGGCAAACGGCAAACGGCGAACCAGTTCCACATCTCAAAAGAAGAAAAACTGCACTTCGAGATCAAGTTTGCAGCAGGAGGAGAGGCCGCAACTGCAACTGCAACTGCAGCTTTGTGGCTGGCTGATGCGGCAGATGCCTTATGCAACCTGTGCAGCACATGCAAAGTGCCGCTGGTCTGGTCTGGACTGGACTGGAGAGAGTAGGCTTAGCCCCCAAATTCTAGCACAGATTGCGGTAGTTGACGTCACAACGGGGCGCTCTTAGAGGCCAACGGCAGTTGCCGTTAGCTGCCATTGGACTGATACTCCTTCTCCATCTCTTCCTGGGTATTGTCGTTTAGATAGCAGTTTGAAGGTTGCTTTGATTTTGCCCCAGAGTGCAATTCCATGTAGGAGTCGTCGCAGCCCCTTGAGGGACGTGCCAGGCGCCAAGCCCGCAGAATGTCAGCCAAAGCCAGGAAGTGATTGCGGGACAAAGCAAAGCAAAGCAAAGCACAGCACAGAGCAGGCCTGGAGCAAGCGGAGAGCGGCAGAGAGCAGGTGAAGCCGGGTGGCCGCGCAGCAGGTGGAGCTGTGAAGCGTGGGCCTAGCGTAAGGGGTTCCCACAAAGACAAACACAAACACAAACCACAAGTAGTTATGCGCACAGACAGTGTGTGCAAAAAGTAATGGGGGAAAAGGTGATCCATATACATTTTACCATATTATGACATTTCCCCCTCATCAAGCAAAAGGTGTGGGGTGTTGTGTCAGTGTTTCAGGCTTTTAATTCGAAATGATTTATTCGATAAGTGGCCATCCGATGGCAATCGTACGAGTGCAATTAAACGCTGCTTGTAATGTGGATTATACAATGAATTATCATTTGATATTTCATCGAATTGAGTCAATATTCATTTATCAACTGAATTGGCAGGCATCGAACATTATCGAACAATTTCTGTTAGGATTTTTAGGCCAAAAACATGCACAATCAAGAGTTTTAGTTATATATTTATAGCTTCACACATTTGCCCGAAAAATGTATGTTTTAATGCATCATTAATGCATTTATCAATGGTCATTATCGAAAAGCCAATAAATCATTTCACTTGGAAAGTATATTGCATCAAAAATTGCAATCCCCGTCCCACACATGAAAAGGGGCTGCAATCACGGCTCGTTAGCGGAACCCACGGACACTGTATGGGGGAATGGGGCGGGAGTGTGGCGGGTGGCAGCAATTACTCAACTCTCTTCGAGGCACAAAACAAAACAAAAAAACCCAATCCACCCCACACCACACCACAACAAGCCCCACTTTAACCGCCTCATCAGCATTTCTACAATCGAAACAAAAATAAAACCAAAACAAAAAAAAAACAACAACAAAAATTATTACTAATTAATTATTGTTGCACAAATGCTCGACGCTTTGCTGCACTCAACGCTGCTCTACGCTTCTGCTGCAGCAAATTTGCTGCATGGACAACAGGCCGATGGACGAACAGCAAAGAGCACAGCGGACGGACTCTGAGCTGGCACTTGTTTGTTATGCGGTGCGCGGCATTTCGTCAGTCTAGTCGTTCAATTGAGAGGGGGGGGGGGGGGCACTCATTGGGGCACACACTCAATCAAGGGAGGTACGGAGAGATGGAGGATGGAGAGCATTGGGCACTTAATTTCGTTTGAGCCGCATTTCACTTTCCATTTCTCCACAATCAAAATGCGTCGAGATTGGAAGGCGCAAAAATTTCAATTTCATTTTATTTATGAGCAGGCAGGCGACACTTTTGAATGCAAATGATGGCTAAATTGTGCTGGCCTGCCAGTGGATCCGCCGCTCTCTTTCTCTCTCTCACACACACACACACACACACACACCATTGTGCACCCTGACTGTTTTGGCTTGGGGAAATGCAGCTTTAATTGTTAGCAACGTCTTCCACCATTCAGCCATGCATTGAAGAAAATCCGTAAAGAAAGAGTTCTCCTGCTTTCAAATCAGGCTCAATTCCAATGGAATTTGCAGCCCAAACTCCCAAGCTCCGAGACTTGAGCTTCGGCAGCGCAGAGGAGATGTCCGAAAAGCAGATAAACATTTGTTTTCTGGACTGCTGCAACACTGACCCAAACTATAGATCATTTCAGTGGAAATTGTGATTAATCTAAGGATAATCCTTCTTCTTTCATAAAAAAACTATGAGATCTGCATAATAATCTTTTACGAATCTTTAATGGAGAATGAAGACAGACAAACGGTTGAAAATTCTTCTGAATTCTAAGGATTTGACTGTTTCCTTTATCGCTGCAAGTTCAAAACTATTCAGTCTCTCTAAAGTCGAGCTTTGAGGAATACTGAGGAATACAGAGGTCAATATTGAAGGAATTTGTTTTAGAACTTTCGATATTAGCAATATATGCATTACATATCCCAACAAACCCAACGAGTACTACTTACTTCTCTCCCATTAATTCTCTCTCAAGAAGGTCTTTCACGAAAAGGAATTGCAATTCTCAATGAGAATTACAAAGAGAGAAATTGAAGTCAGACGAAAAGATGTTAAAATCCATGACTCCCATGGAGGAAGACCTTAATGCATTTTGGAAATTGGAAATTCCGTGTCGAGGTCGCGCCGTGTATTACCACATAAACTAGATCACGAGACAGTCGCGAGATCTCTGCGTTGCAGCCAGCACTCACCGTGTTGATCTTCTCCATGAAGACGCTCATTTGGTTTTTGGCAGACATTATTCTGCTTAAGAATTCTTCCGGTCTCCTCTTCAATGAAGTGAGTTCAGACTCAGGCGGCACTGCCTGTCGGTAACGGCGCACACATCACGCACAACACAAGCCAAACACACTCCGCTGCATGCACCACTAATCGCGGGATTCTTTAAACAATAAAAACAAGAACAAAAAGAAAACACAACAAACAAAAAATATGGAATTATATGGCCTCTACTTTTCACAGTTCTCGCTGGAAAATCACGCGCGCGATTTTGTTTGAGTTTTTGGTTTTTGGTTTTTGAATCTCTATTTGTTTTATTTCCAACTCGAAAGCATCGTATTCGCATGCGATCTTATCGACGGCTGGCAACGCATTGAACGCTCAAGACGTGTCCCAGGCAGCGGCAAGCTTCAGACCAGAGCTTGGGCCAAAAAGCCGAGACAGCCGACGACAACCGACAAACAACGTCGTCGTCGTCGTCGTCGTCGTTGTCGTCGTCGTGAGCCGAAGAAGTTGGCCATGACAATGTTGCAGCGACAGGTGCCCGCAGCAGCACGCAGAGAGAGAGAGAGATAGAGAGAGAGAGAGAGAGAGAGAGAGAGAGAAACCGGCTGTGAGGTGTGCCTAATGCTTGAGACGCCACTGTGCCGAGTGCCCCAGTCCCCCCACACGTTCCACTGTGTCCCCTCCCCTCCCCTCCCGCCCACTGTGTGAATCTCGCCTTGGGTTCTCTGGCGGATTGGGGCCGTTTTGTGGGTGGTTTGTCGGTCTGTCGGGTGGAAATGTGCGCATTCCATGCGGACTTATGGGGAAAAACAAGGGCAGGCAAGGGCTCAGGCCTCCACATGCTCGATCCTATATTTAAAAGCTGATATCATGAGATATCAGAGGAAGTTTTCTAAAGAAAAACTCTTGCAGCATCCACGAACTCTATACTCTATCTTGAACCATTTTCATGGAATTGCAAGTAGAAAATGAAGAGCTCTAAGCGACAAATCGATAATGTATTCGTTAACGATAATTTATCGATAAATATTGATGGTAATCTTTGATTGCTCGATCGCAGCACTTAAGCTCGCAAAACGACTCGAACAATCGATTGTACAATTCAATTGAACAGCTTAATTAGCTCTGGCAAATCAACAACAAATAAATGCCACAAACAAAGTGTTCAATGAGCATTGCAATATTTACAATAGGTAAATATATCTGCAATAGAAATACAGATACAGATACAGATATATATTTGTCGCTTTGGCAACGAAGTCAAAGTCAAAATCCATTTAAGGTCGTCACAAATAAAGTTTTTGTTTTTCGTTACTTTTTCTACCGTTTTTTTCGCAAGCGTCATGCAGAAAAGCGAAATATCATGGCTAAAAAAACCCTCCATCATCTGCCCCCTCGTAGTTTATTTTATGTAACGGTCCTTGTTAAGAGTCAATGCTGCTTCTCCTTATATTCATTGGCCCAAAATTATTGGCCGTCATTCAATTAAGCGCTCGATGACAGATTCGCTCGTTCGCTCGTTCGTTCGGTGTTGCTGTTCTTCGGGGGTCTTCATTCGAGCTGGCGCTGCTTAGGTGATGGAAGAAACCTGGTACCCATTCCAAGAACAACCCAAAGACGTGGCACATACTTAGTCTTATGAATTACCCCCATCTAAAGTACATCTCATGTTTATCCAACTATCCCCATCTGTTCATTCAGCTCTTGATACTCTCTAAAACAGAACTTAATCTCAGCTTGTTAGAGGTATCCCCAGAGTCGCAATATTTTGTGTTCTTTTTTACACCATTTCTGTGGCACATTGTGGCCCGTTACATTAGGTGTTCTGAGATCTTTGTTTTATTCTTCAATCACTTCAGTTGCCCGCCAAAATGTTGTTTGGGCATTGAACTCCGTTTCCCTCTCAACTGTGGAGTTTTCCTCCGTTTGCTCACCTGTTGGCTTGGATTCTCGTTGTCTCTGGTTTTAGTTCAAGTCTTTGGCTGCAAGAGAGAGCAAAAGAGGATACAAAATTAGTTGGTTTGTGCGTTGCATCCCCCCCCCCCCCCCACTCGGCGTGGGCATTGATTAGTGCAATCTTCTCGTTAATTTCCCATTTTCCAATTACAAAATTTCCATTTCCAAAGGAAAGGGTTGTTGTTGTTGCTTTTTGTTTTTGTGCCAACTCATCAGCCGCGAGCGAAAGCCAAACGCCAGACAAGACATAATTTCCCATTAGCAGGTTTTTAATGGATGAATTATGGATTATGGCGGATGGGAAATCGTGTGGCGGCCATAGAGAAGTGCAAGAGGTGTGTAGCCTGCGCTCGAAGAACAGACTATTTCATTTAACTGGAAACTCCGCGCCTAATCAAATTTATGTGCTGCCTGCCTGCATGCCAACTATCCATCTTTCAATCTTCCCATCCGCTAATCAGCCCATCCTCCTCTGAAATCTTAGATCTTTTTAAATTTGATTTATGCTCTCCTCCGGCACTTCACTTGGGATTCCAAAACCAAAACGAAACCAAACCAACAAAAAATTGCTCCATTAAAGCATTTGAAAGTGAAACTTTTTTTGTTGTCAACTGTTTTTGTCTGCTGCTTGTTTTTGTTTTTGTTTGTGTTTGTGTGTTTTGTTTCTGTTTTGTTTTGCATTTCAATTTTTGTTGTCGCTTGTTTTCAATTTCACTAGAAAGCACAAACACTTCTCCCTCTTGATATTCTCAAAGGGAAGAGAAGAAATTGGTAGCGACGGCACCTGATCGGAATGAGAAGTCGTCTTCGGTGCTTCGGGGGCCCATTCCTTCCAGAAGAGAGAGCCCCATGGCATGACAAGTAGTTAAGAGGGAGAGATTGAGGGAGAGCAAGGAAGAGAGACAGGGGACAGATGTACAAATCTGCATTTGAGCTCTCATCTTTGGTGGCAAAAATCCCAGAGAGAAATCTCCCGACATTTAGCATCGAAAGCCAAAACAAATGACTTTAGAAGCAAACTCTTTGGCTGAAAGAAATATGAATTTCTATCATTATTATCAATTCTTTTCTAGTATTATCGCTTGGCCATTTTTGAATAGCTTCCATCAGGCTTATTTGGCCCTTTCCGGCCTACGACTAGCGGCTTTTTCGCCAAAAACGGATGCATAGAAACAGAGGGAATATTCGATAGGGAGAGAGAGAGAGAGAAAAGTCTGACAAAATTGATATACGGACATTCGAACTTTCGGGCACTCTGGGACGGGAATTAGCATACGATGCGATGCGATGCGATGCGATGGCCTGTATGCCGCCTGTCTCAATTAACGATTCCGCTCAGCTAATATCGGTTTCACCCACCAAAAGAAGGGGCGGGTGTATTGCCAGACCATCGAGAGAGCGGAGCGGGGGCCCAGCTGGTGGACTGGTGGACTGGTGGTAATTCAAATTGTTCGAAGAAAGTCTGCCAAAAGGCAGTTGTTGAAAGTTGGAATCCAAGTCTGAGTTCGCGAGTCCCCGAGTTGAATGACTCAGAAGCCAAAATCAAAATAAGAAATAAAAACTAAAATTGTTTTCAGTTTTGTTGTTGTATCTTGATGTTTATTTTTTTGTTCGCTGTTTTCATCGTCTGCCCATAAACTTTTTAGGGGGCGGCAGCAATCACAAGGCCTCCTCGGACCTCGCTGTGGCTGTCTCTGTGTGTTTCGGGGAGTACAAGTTTTCTAGTTTTCTCTGACATCATCGGACATCGGATCGCACATCGATAACTGCTGAAATTTACACCTCACTTTTGTGTCTTTTAATTTGCAATCAAAAGTGCAATTAAATATTGAAATAAATTCTGCCTCAACGCAGGCCTCAGTCGCAATGCATTCAAAGGGCAAAAGGCACGAGTGCTTAATGCAGCATTAGGACAGCAGCATCGTAAAGGCAGCTCGTAAATCCCAAAGGGTCGGTCCAACAAGTGCATTAGAGGCGAAACAACATTAGTTGGCGGCTAGCAGGAGAAGGTTCGAAAGAGCCACAGCCATGCGAAGGTAATTTCATGAGTTCTCCCCTCTGAGTACTAGTTGCAGTGGAAAAGAAAATACAATACGCCTCTACTCCAGTCATAAGACACCACAAGAAATGCCGGAAAATGTGGGTACTTGTATGACCAATTACTATTATTGCTCGTTGTAGTTGGAAGTGTTTTTGGGGAGATTGCATTAAAAAACGTGAGTGCGTGAAATGTCCACAACAAAGTGAACAACAAAACATTATTGCTTGCTACCTGCGTCCATGTGCCTGCCGCTGGCCCTGCCCTCCCAGATGATTGTGGCGTTTTTTTTTTCTCCGTGTTATTTCTGTTGATATTTTTGGGTAATCATTACAATTGTCGTGGGGATTGTTGCTGCTATTGTTATTGCTATTATTACAAGTGTTTTATTGCTGTTGCCTTTATTCGGGGTCAACCCAGAAACAAAAAATAAACAACAAATAGTATGTCAATGCGGGATGAGCAACGGATCCAGAGATGCCCAGTGATGGGAAACGACAACACACAAATGCACATGTCATAGTTGGTAAGTCTTACCATCTGAAGGGGCGTGCATTTAATTGAAACTTGAAGTGGATAAGTAGGGGCCATGGGCCATATTTTAACGATCTTTAAGTCGGCCAATAATAAAGGTCTTATCCAGCCCACTGCACCTGCGCTGCCTCCCTCCCACTTTCGCCTGCAGCTACATGGCACTCACATGCCACACAGCGACCCCAAAAAATCATATAAATCACCCATCCGCACCGTTAGACACGACTCTCTGGGAATGGGAATGGGGGAATGGGGGAATGCCGATGACCGAGACAAAAAATCTATTACTTAATTTCGCTAAAAAGAAAACCGTTTAGATTTCGAGCTACGAATCGAAGACCTGCCCCTGCCCCTGCCCCTGCCCCCACTTGCCTCTTGCCCCACCGGGCTTTACATTTCTTTTTGATCTTCGATTCCGAGGCATTTCTTTATGTAATCGCCATGCGTAAAAATAAGACAAAAGCCAAGACACGAGACCCCGCCGCACTACTCCGCCTTCATTGTTTCTTCTTCTGGGCCACAAATTAGAAGCAAAATCGAAAGACAAGCAAACGAGCAGAGAAGCGACAAGAAAAGAAAAGGGGGGAGGCAGAGCGAGAGAGACGTTGAAAACAAAATCAAAAATCAAACGCTTTCGATTTCTATTTGA